TACAATATATGCTGCTAGAAGCAGCATCACAGATTAACAGGTTGAAAGAATGTGATATGCAAGGGACATAAATTGCATGAGAATTTAAACTAATTATTCTGGACTGTACGCCTTTATATTTTCCTTTCATATTGCCCCCATTATCGTATGCTTGCCCTCTAGAATACATAATATCCAAATCCAGCTCATTTATTCTTTTTAAAAGGGTATTAGCTAGTCCTTCACCAGTTGTATCTGATACTTCAATAAATCCCACAAACGATTCATATATGTTTATTTTTTTATCACAAAAATGTACATATCTAATAATGATTGATGTCTGTTCGGTATGAGAAATGTCTGGGGTGCAATCCATCTGTATGCTGAAATATGTGGCGGCTTTAATATCATTTTTAATTTTATTAAGTACTTCATTTCCTAAAGCCGCAATAATTTCGTCTTGCGATCTATGTGCCAAGTGGTGCACAATCCTTTTCTTCGAATTTTTAATTCTGTTTACATGATCCATTAGTACAGGATCATATTTACTTAACAATTCAATTAAACTTAAAAAATTCCCATTATTTGGTACACCTATTACTTCATGTGATACTCGAAACGATAAATTATTAGCAGATAAGAACAAAATAACATCTACAATTCTTTGAAATAATAATTTCAGGCGTTCCATTTCTCTACTTATATTAATTTGATTCATGTTATCAATAGTGGACTTCAAGTTAAGCCGTTTCAGTAATTCTTGCCATGCAATAAAAGATTTACAACGATATACAGAGAGCTCATGGTCTCGAAGTACACATGACAATTTTCTCCACGTATTATAACCTTGTCTGAATCGTGTGTTTTGATTTTTGTCGTTTTCTTGCCCAAATAATATACAACAAAAACAATAAACTGAGTCCTGAGTCTTTGAGTAAAGTAACCAACTACGAGGCTGAGTTTCACCATTTGGCATTTTTTTAAAATAATACGATATAGAAAATGATCTACCTTCTTCATTTTTAGGAAAAGTGCTTTGAACATCTTGTTTAGGTCCAACTTTGGTACACATCACTCTAAAGTTATGGGTTATAACATTTGGCCATAAATTTGGATCACCTAAATTTAAGTTTATTACATCATCTTCATTATTGTTATCATCACTGTTAGTTCTTGTTTTTTCCGTATTTTTTGTATTTTGAAGGGTATCTTGTAGAGTTTGTTCGCAATCTTCTGGTGCAATTAAAGATTGAATCGAATTGTCTTCCATAGTATTATCATTTTTACTTTGAAGCCAGGAATACATGTTTAATTGTGTTTTTTCGAGTTTTTGTCTTTCATTTTCCTTCTTCTCTGCTAATTTGCGTTTTTGACATCCAGAAAGATATTTTCTTGGTAGGGTGAACATTTTTCAAAATTTTAACAATATTGAAAGTACTTTTCTTACTTTCAAATTTTACAAAATATGAATAATTATGAACCGATAAGTGTTTTTTTTTAATTGAACAATTTTGTTTATCGGAAAAAAAATCCGATAAGCAAACACTTTTAGACCTAGTTCTAAAAGCTCTTTGAATCGTTTTGGGGCCCCATGAGTTACAGGGCCCGGGTACTACGCATCCACGGCACCCCCCCTATGACCGGCCCTGCTATTAGGGATACAATAAATTCACTAAAGGAAGTAGCCCCAGAAAGTTAATGCATATGTTATTTTAGAAGTCAATAGTAAAATGGGTTATGGCCAAAATTGCTCAAAACAATATTCAGGAAAAAATTACAGATTTTTTTAAGCCTTAGGAATAACTGATTATTACACCCCACTGTATTTTTGTGTTCACACTATCGCGAGTGTACTTTATTTAATATTGGAAACAAAGTGATGTCTAAATACACTTTCAAGTTCAAAAGTTTCATTCGATACCGAATCATGTTCATTAAAAAACAAAGCAGACAATGAAATTTTAAATATTTGTAAAGAGTTATGAATAACATACTCCTATTTAAAGCATAAAACCCATCGTTCGATTCGAAATAACTTTTAAACGCCTATTTCCGCGAAAGCTTTCAAATTGTTTAAATGGCAATAGATTAAAATCAATAATTGAAACGGACCGACATGAAATATTAAATAAATGGGTGGACTGTTCTCGTTTTGTTTGCGTGCGAAGTCATTTTTACACGATTACACTAAAATTAACCGAAATTAGGGATAATTGGTAATTAAAATATGGTTAGTGCGTCATTTGAGCCTTTGATTAAATTAAATTAAATAGAGCTTAAAATAATTGTTATTTATTTGTTTACTTTGGTGGGTTATTTATTTTTAAAAAAACGCTTTTAATCTAAAAATCGATAAATTTATTCGGGCTTGGTGGGAATTCTTCAAATTGAAAATGCCAGAAAGCCCTTTTAGCACCAAATGGTATACTAAATAGAAAGTGTTTGTTAGCACGTGCAGTTAAACTAGCCCATTAACCTACTCTGCACCTAAATCTCACAATGAACGGACGTTCGAAATTTACCGTTTATTTACCTTTGGTGTGGTTTAGTACCACACACAAGTTATGATTGTGTATCAAATATTTCCTTTCAACATTTTTTATGTTTCCTTTTATAAAATTTATTTATATAAATAATTTGAACAGATTAGAGTTGGGCATATCTGTTGAAAGTATGCATATATAGAAAGTGTGATAAAAAATTAATCGTACCGCATGTTTAACTTCAACAATCACGTAGTGCGTTGTTATCGACATTCTTCGTTATAACTATTTTTCTTTCTTATTGTTCGCTATCGGCCACGATGTTTATTTCGCGATAACAAACCGGCGGCGATTAGTACGGAAAGGGGGAAAGAAGAACAAAGGCGCATGCTTTCGAACGTATCGGGTTCGTTTACTTCTCATATATCGTACATAAACGTGTTCATGAACAGTGATAAAGCTAATCCGGCCACATGAATATTAAGTTATTGAAATTTTAAGACAAATAAATCTTAATCGTTGCCTTAATTAATACAATAAAGTTAATAGGTGATTAAAAATAGATATTATGAGGAACAGGACCAGCTGCAAAGAGTTGGACTAAAGTCAAAAATTAAGTGCCGAGAATTATTTCTCGCCTTAACTGATGAGTTTTGTTGGTGGAATTAAATTATTATGTTGAACTAAAACTTTAGGTTTAAATTTTTCTTGTCTAATATTTTGAAAATCGGCTTTTTTCATTAAAAAGCTAATGCTTTTTTCTATAATCCCTCAAAAATGCAATGCAATATCGCAAATAATCGATTAATTACGATTTTTTTTAAATGATTCCATCTTAAATTTAACCTAAAAAGCAAAAAAAAAAATTGATGAACTGTGAAAGTTGATATCTTAAGAACGAATTGATTTTTTTAAAAGCTGTCTTTTTCATTGAAAAGCTTACAGTTTCCTTTATAATTGTTGATAGTTTCAAATCGATTTATTAAAAATTAGATTTTAGCCGATTTTTTGAAAACATCGCAACAAATTCTCTTCCCTAAACAATGAAGGAAGACATAGTTGCGTTTAAAAACGTTTTTCTCAAAAACTAAAAGATATTTTCAAAATCGGCTTTTTTCATTAAAAAGCTAACGCTTTTTTCTATAGTTCCTAAAAATTGCAATGCGATATCGCAAATAATCGATTAATTACGATTTTTTTAAAAATGATTCCATCTTAAATTTAACCTAAAAAGCAAAAAAAAATTGATGAACTTGAAAGTTGATATCTCAAAAACGAATTGATTTTTTTAAAAGCTGTGTTTTTCATTGAAAAGCTTACAGTTTCCTTTATAATTGCTGATAGTTTCAAATCGATTTATTAAAAATTAGATTTTAGCCGAATTTTTGAAAACATCGCAACAAATTCTCTTCCCTAAAAAATGAAGGAAAACATTGTTGCGTTTAAAAACGTTTTTCTCAAAAACTAAAAGATATTTTCAAAATCGGCTTTTTTCATTAAAAAGCTAACGCTTTTTTCTATAATTCCTCAAAAATGCAATACGATATCGCAAATAATCGATTAATTCCGATTTTTTTAAAAATGATTCCATCTTAAATTTAACCTAAGAAGCAAAAAAAAAAATTGATGAACTTTGAAAGTTGATATCTTAAGAACGAATTGATTTTTTTAAAAGCTGTCTTTTTCATTGAAAAGCTTATAGTTTTCTTTATAATTGCTGATAGTTTCAAATCGATTTATTAAAAATTAGATTTTAGCCGATTTTTTGAGAACATCGCAACAAATTCTCTTCCCTAAAAAATGAAGGAAAACATAGTTGCGTTTAAAAACGTTTTTCTCAAAAACTAAAAGATATTTTCAAAATTGGCTTTTTTCATTAAAAAGCTAAGGCTTTATTCTATTATTCCTCAAAAATGCAATACGATATCGTAAATAATCGATTAATTACGATTTTTTTAAAAATTATTCCATCTTAAATTTAACCTAAAAAGCAAAAAAAAAAATTGGTGAACTTTGAAAGTTGATATCTCAAAAACGAATTGATTTTTTTAAAAGCGGCCTTTTTCATTGAAAAGCTTATAATTTCCTTTATAATTGCTGATAGTTTCAAATCGATTTATTAAAAATTAGATTTTAGCCGATTTTTTGAAAACATCGCAACAAATTCTCTTCCTTAAAAAATGAAGGAAGACATTGTTGCGTTTAAAAACGTTTTTCTCAAAAACTAAAAGATATTTTCAAAATCGGCTTTTTTCATTAAAAAGCTAAGGCTTTATTCTATAATTCCTAAAAATTGCAATGCGATATCTTAAATAATCGATATTTCACGATTTTTTAAAAATGATCAAAAGTTCAAACTAAAACTAGAAACATTCCGGTTAAGCCGTCTTGAGAGACGTGGCTAAACCTGAACGTTTCTAGTTCTAGGTCTAGTATTAGTTCTAATTTTGGTTCAATTAACATCGAGCATGAAACTTAACTTATTATATTTATTAATAGTTATTTTATATTAAAATAAAGTAGTTGAGTTGCACTTACCGTTTCTATTTTCACTATCTGCAGGTTTCATTTGTATAGGATGGTGCATCTGGAATAAATAAAAATTAAAACCGTTAATTTTCTTTGGTACAAATGAAGAGTTAGTCGTACATAAGTAAACGAGTAAATGGAGTAAGGCAGCTGGTAAACAAAATTTCGCTGTGACGGGCAAACGAGGATATGCGACCGACGGCCCAAGAAATTCCTCGATAAAATGTAATTTCACGAGGAAATTTGCGTCTTGAATTCCGGTGGAATTCTTATCGTTCCCGGCGCCTAGCTGACCTGTTTCTGGGAGGCTCAATATGTATGACAAATCAATATGCGCGTTTGCGATTTTCCTCACTCGAAAGGGCAGCCCAATCAGGGAAAATTGCATTTGGAAGTATGCCGTTAAAAGTGCATTACGAACGACACGATCTCCCTTGAAAATTGACGAAACGAATGTACACGGCTATACTTTTAAGCTAATTTGAAAGCTAATTAACTTTAACGTGTGACAGAGTACAATTAAATACGTTCTTTTTTGTTAAAACATCGAAATCCCGTCGCATCCACCAAAATTTCGTCTAAATTTTTTATTTCAACAAACGTACCGGAAGGGACATTTTGAAACTTCCTCCTTATGAATGCCTATATGTTGGTTCGTAGTGCATAACATGCAAAGCCGGACCGAAACATAAATAAAGCGCTGTGCCGCTAGGTCGTAGTTACTAAACTATTCTAAGCCTTGTCGAGTCAAATTGCAGCGCGTTTAGCGGACGTCTAGTTAGTATTTCATGCACACACAACCCGCGCTGATGTACGCCAGTTACGTGTTATCCGGGCATTGCATTCGACGTGGGCATATCTTTTCTGGCATTTGCACCCCTAAGGTTATGGCTCACGAAGAAGCCATGCATGTGAAATTACGTCACATTTCCCCGGTACTGTTTGCGATAAAATTATCGTTGGAAACCTTGAGTAAATAGACGAAGTCTTAGTAGACATACACGTTGTTCCTACATTTTCATTTAATATATCCATTTCATTGTAATTTGAGTATATTATGCAAACGTACTTTTAATTAATTAATTATTAAGATTTGAAGATTTAATGATATAAACAGAAAAACTTAATTGATTGTTCAAGTAATTCAACCGCCTAAATTGTATGCAACTTATTATGCATACATTGAACGTCACTACAATTATTTTCATTTCACTTTGAGCAATGTTATCTTATTTTACGCTAAATTAAAATTCAACGAACAATCTTTGTCGACATTATTTTATCTTGCGCTACGAAATGCATTAGTGCAAATAATCCCAAAATCGGGTAAATATTTATTATCTGGGAAAAAGAAACCCAACTACCAAGAAGTAGTGATGGGCATAATCGAATGACCATAGTCGATTAACCGATTATACACGATCATTCGAGATATCGATTATTCTAAAAGATAATAGATTGTAAAATAATCGAATGAAATAATCGATTATAATAAAATAATCGAATGAAATAATCGAACAAAATAATCAAACAAAATAATCGATTATTTTTCCATTCGATTATTTTTTCATTCGATGTTGAAAGTTAAAATAAAATTCTATATAAAATATTGACTGGCATGCTACTTTAGGGCTGTTTTGGGAATTTACCGACTTCTCTGAATGTCTCATTTTAATATTTAAATTAAATAGAGCCTCAAATGATTAGTAGAATCCACGTTTTATGTTTGTATTCATTACTAGTTGTTTAATATGAAGTAAAAAAAGGAATGATTATTTGATTCCCCATGATAATATAGAGGTTGGTCAGTCAAAATACATATTTCAAAGAAAGTATTTATTGCACTACATATTACTATTTAAAAACATGATTTCGTTGATCATATTGTTGCGTAACCTACTCCTTCTGTCCTTTGTTAACTCGCTTGCTTTTGAGAATACCCTCTTAGATGGCACGCAGAGGTACTTATTTGCAAGTTTATATAGTTCCGGGAAGATCTCCTTCTTGGAGTCCCAAAAGTCTAAAAGTTTTAGCTCTCTATCTACCAATGGTAGGTCTAGGTACTGCTTCACTTGTGCTTCGGCAGAATTTGTAGGTGTGGACCAGCTGAATTCCTGCTTAACCTTTATATCAAAATGCTTTTAAAGTAAACTAGCTTGGTTGTTCTCGCTGGAATCTAAAATTTATATTCAAATATACTCTATTATCGAACTGTTGCAATAACAAACAAAAAAAAACTGTTAACGAAAATGAGTTAATAGTAATAATTTACTTGCACGCCCCTGAGTACAAGATATTTCAGAATTTGGAGTTTCTAGATGCTGAGTGATAGTCATAATCAAATCCTCTACTTCTTCTGTAATCCATTTAAGGACTTGATTACCATTTATTACCTTATCGAAGGCCAATATCTTTAATCTGGGGTCCAATAATGTCGCGTTTGCACAAATTTTTGAAGATTCAACATAACCCAATCTCCTCAATACGGATATCATGAAAATTAGTTTGCAATATCTTTCCCGTGGAAGTTAATGGTTGTGCATTCTCAACAGCGTATTGGACACCACGAATTAAGGGGATGACAATGGACAACGCTATATATTTTTCTCCCGACAACTCGGAAGTCATAGCTTCAATAGGTTTTAAAATACATATGCAGTCTTTAATTACTGCCCAGTCTTCCGATGACAAAAGTGAAGGTGATCCGGGAAGATTGGACATTGCTGCTGACAACAGAACTTTTAATTCCTCTAATCTTTGCATCATCGCCAAGCAAGAATTCCATCTTGTTGAAACGTCCTGTTTCACTTTTAGCAGAGGAAGTTTCATTTGATTCTGCATTTTGGCCAGTTCACCAGATGCTTCTTTTAAAGTGCCCCACAATATTTTTGCATTTCTCGAGCAATTGCTGTAGATCTGCTTGTTTGAGGGCGTCCATGGTACATAGGTTCAGCGTATGTGCTATGCAGAGTTGGTGAGTCTTATTGAAATGAACAGTAATAGCGTTTCTCATATTTGAAACACAGAACAATACACAAACACTTGACCTGGTTGCAAAAAAACACAACAATACTGCCGAGTAGTTTGTGGTGGAGTGAACAATCAACGTAGTTCGGGTAGGGGTGTGCACGTGTATATACATGGAGTTTCAAAGAATTCGGTAAATCCCCGAAACAGCCCTGTGAAGTAGTAATACCGTAAATATTTTAGATAGAATGTTATTTCAACTTTCATCATCGAATGAAAACATAATCGAATGGAAAAACGATCGATGATGTTATAATCGACTATTTCATTCGATTATTTTATAATTGATTATTTTATTCGATTGTAAAATAATCGATTAATAATAAAATAATCGATTAATAATCGATTATTCATATATCTCGATTATGCCCATCACTACCAAGAATATTGCTTGGGATTGATGATTATTTCTAGTTCTAGATCTAATGCTTGTACTAGTGTTAGTTATAACAGCTAGAATTGATACTTGCACTATCACTGGAATAACACTAGACCTAGAACTAGAAACATTCGGACTTAGCCGTCTTGAGAGACGAACGGCTAAGCCCGAATGGTTCTAGTTCTAGGTCTAGTGTTAGCTCTAGTGACAGCGCAACTGTAAAACTAGAACTAACACTATACCTAGAACTAGAATCATTTAGGTTTAGCCGTCTTTAGAGACGTGCGGCTAAACCCAAATGATTCTAGTTCTAGGTATAGTGTTAGTTCTAGTTTTAGCTCTAGAAGCATAGATGTTTCTAGAAACTGCAAAGAACGTATTTAATTGTACTCCGTCACACGTTGAAGTTAATTAGCGTGTATAGATATTTCTGGAAATAGCAACATTGCAAATTTTATTGAAAACGGCGATTAGTGCATACAATCCCAAAATCGGGTAAATATTTATTATCTGGGAAAAAGAAACCCAACTACCAAGAATATTGATTCGGTTTGATAATTATTTCTAGTTCTAGATCTAATGCTTGTACTAGTGTTAGTTATAACAGCTAGAATTGACACTTGCACTATCACTGGAATAACACTAGACCTAGAACTAGAATCATTCGGACTTAGCCGTCTTGAGAGACAAATGGCTAAGCCCGAATGTTTCTAGTTCTAGGTCTAGTGTTAGCTCTAGTGACAGCGCAATTGTATAACTAGAAGTAACACTATACCTAGAACTAGAATCATTCAGGTTTAGCCGTCTTTAGAGACGTGCGGCTAAACCCAAATGATTCTAGTTCTAGGCCTAGTGTTAGTTCTAGTTTTACACTAGCACTGTTACCATGTAGAACTAACACTATACCTAGAACTAGAAACATTCTAGTTGCATAAATAATCCCAAAATCGGGTAAATATTTATTATCTGGGAAAAAGAAACCCAACTACCAAGAATATTGCTTCGGTTTGATGATTATTTCTAGTTCTAGATCTAATGCTTGTACTAGTGTTAGTTATAACAGCTAGAATTGACACTTGCACTATCACTGGAATAACACTAGACCTAGAACTAGAATCATTCGGACTTAGCCGTCTTGAGAGACGAATGGCTAAGCCCGAATGTTTCTAGTTCTAGGTCTAGTGTTAGCTCTAGTGACAGCGCAATTGTAAAACTAGAACTAACACTATACCTAGAACTAGAATCATTCAGGTTTAGCCGTCTTTAGAGACGTGCGGCTAAACCCAAATGATTCTAGTTCTAGGTATAGTGTTAGTTCTAGTTTTACACTAGCACTGTTACTTTGGGTTTAGCCGTCTTTAGAGACGTGCGGCTAAACCCAAATGATTCTAGTTCTAGGTATAGTGTAGGTTCTAGTTTTAGCTCTAGAAGCATAGATGTTTCTAGAAACTGCAAAGAACGTATTTAATTGTACTCTGTCACACGTTAAAGTTAATTAGCGTGTATAGATATTTCTGGAAATAGCAAGATTGCAAATTTTATTGAAAACGGCGATTAGTGCATACAATCCCAAAATCAGGGAAATAATTCTGTTAGAACTCCTATTGGAAATTAAATTCTATTAATTATCATTGGTGGTGAGGTGGCAGTGTTTGTAGGTATGGTTTCAGTCTTTCATGTTCTCTCACGTGGTATTTGAGTGAAACAGTACTAGATTTCATATGTGAAATATCATAATGTAGTTTTGGAACTTAATATCCTTGTTGTTCTCGGTGATTTTAGTATTGATTTAAGAATCTCTTTAAACTTTTAAAGAACCCCAAAAATACAATAGAAAATTCACAGTTTCATTAACATTGTTAAAGCTTACAAATTCGTGTTCGGCGTAGAAACGTCCCTTTCTAACCCCCCTTTAGCTAGTACCTCGAAATCCCCCCGTTTTCCGCGACATTGCCGTAGCCTTTTTTGCATGCCCATAGCGCCGACACCCTTTGCCGCCGGAGGGGCAAAGGTCACCACGTGACCCGCATACGAAATCACCTTCAAAACGAAATCTGGCGGAAGAACCGGGTAGTGGAAAGGCGACGAGGTCGTGCGCACCCCTTTTTGGGCGACCACAGATTCTTCCTCCCCTTTTCTTTTCTCCCCTATCCACAACTGTGCTACTAGACTTGACTTACCCCGTTCAACGTTTTTACATTGTGAAGCGCGTCCTGAGCTTGCAGGGCAGCTTTCCGCGTGTAGAAGGTCACGAAACAGCATCCTGCAAATAAACGACGCCAAATTAGTCTATGTTTTAATTTTTAATAGATGGTAGAAAGTGATAAAACGAGTAGAGAGGAAATTAATTCGAGCAGGAAACGGTAAATTTCATTAGTGCACCTTTATTTGTAGTTGTAGGTAACGTTCGTAATGAAATAACCCGACGGCGTTTACATCTTTGCGTACGTTAGCTACTTAAGGACACTCTCTCCGGGTGATGTGGATGAACATCTCGGAGCAATACGAGAAGAACATCTAGTGCTAATGAGATTTCTACGTGTCTGTACTTCCGCACATACGAGTTGTACGCGGAACTTTGATGACGTCACGAATCCAGGTGGAAAACCCCTAGATTTCTGTTTGTCTCTCTCACGCTGCACCTTACCATTTAACTAATTAATTAAATTAAACTTATCTAACGAAAAATATAATATTATCAAAGCGAGACGAAATAGAAAAAAACACTAAAAAACGTCACGCGATAAAAGCAAACTGCGAAATAAAACATTTTAATTGTGAATTTTTTCGGTTATCGTTGCAAAGCTGAAATGGAAAAGTTGGCAAAACAATGCTGAGTAAATAAGGATGTGGCCGCGCATTGTTGCGCCACCATTTTCCATTTTAAAACGTCAATTTACCATTTTCAATGTGATATTTTTATCGAATAACATAAAAAAATATAGATATTTTTTATCGGTCCCCGAATTCATTTTAGCCATTTTTTAAATTATCACCTAAATCTATGCCAAAATATACCTAAATATGCTCATCTCCTGAGATGAAGAATCAATAACTTTTAACGAATATCAATTACGTCTGATGCAAACGAGCGTTTCTCTTATCAATTTTTCGACGGCCATCACATATTTCAGCCGAAAATTTAAAGCGCAGCTTATAAAGGCCCCGACGCGGAGATAAGAACAAAAGCTCCCGGTGATTTATATTGTCTGTTTAATCCAGTTCGTCCCGCGGGCCGTTGAAGCCACCGCCACCGTGGTATATATTGCGGAGGGTGGCTGCGGCAGCTGTTCGTTATTAAAGGCTTTTAATTATCCTCACCTAGAACCCCCGCCAGTTCTCTAAACTAAGGATTGACGCCGACTGAGGCCACAATAACACGCGATTGATGGGACCCAGTTTTTAGTGAAATATACAATTCACGAACCACCGCGCCGTCGGCGTCGTGGTACATTTCAAATCCCAGTGGCGGCACAGCTGAATTATTTTAACTTGACGTTGACAGATTATGGGCGGTTAGCGGGTGCTAATTTGTCGTTGTGACGGTGGCAAACCGAACCGGCTGTGACCATCGAGCCACTAACGAAACAAATTTTCAACAAAAAAATAAATAATCAAAAATTTTGATTGGTTATTTTTATGGTGGAGGCGCCGGAATCTATCATAATCTATATAAAGCGCTATATATACTTGTTATGTTATCACAGTAAGTGCTCGTATATAGCTCTTAAAAACTCTTATCTCTTAATTCAGTACTTATTTACACCTCTTTCATTTAAATTGTTATTTCCAATTCTTAAATTAAATATAGCTTCTTTTATTCAGAAATAAAATGGTATACAAGGATAAATACTATCGATTGATATTCTAAAACAGTATAGAACTAAAAAGAGTGGAAATGTTCAAGCGTTAACAACAAAAGAAAAATACAACGGTGTAAAGTATGATTTACTAGAAATATCTGGTACACTAAAGGTGATACTAAAACCGAAAGTTACACATATCATTTATATTGTACCAATTGAAGAGTTCTTTGACAAAATAGATGAGCAGCACAAAGCGACCGGTCATGGCGGAAGAGATAAAATGTTGCATAATTTAAAAAAAAGATGCAACATTCTAAGACTGGCAGTTGAATTGTATGCCGAGTTATGTAAAATTTGTCTTACGAAGGTCAAGTGAAAGATGTGGAGTTAATGAAGAAGAATTCTTTTTGATGATTTGGAAATAGGAAAATACGTAATATTGCAGTTCCAAACTATGATAGAGGGCCATTGGACAAAAAGAATATAGAAGGTAATAGTAGTTTCTTTTCGGAGAGAAAATTTTTTAATGTTTCATGTTTTTGCAGGTATTATAACAGAATCAGCGAATAACGTCTATAAAATTGCTACTAAAGGATTTTAAAAAATTGGTTAAGTCGAAGCGACCTGACACCGGTGTCTTCGATATACTTTGGATGATCCCCAGGAATACTTTATCTCTTTAAGACAGGCCAGCAGTTCACAGTCGCTGTTTTCTGGGCAAGGGATGTCAAAATCCTTCGAAATTTAGTGCAGTACAAAAAGGTGTACTTGTTTCAAAAATAAGATGATGTGCAATAGTAGATACCATTCCAGCAACAATTGAAGGGGTCGGGAGAAAAAAGTGCCAAGCATCATTTTGGCCTAACCGAATTTAGCAGTGCTGTCTATGAGTAAATTGAACAAATTACAAGCAGCACTGTTTAGATTTCAATTATTGCCGTTAGATTGCTCTGTATTTGCATTGCATTTTATTACCTCAACTGGTTGTTTGCAAAGTTTTGGGGAAAACAGTGTCAAGCTCCTCATGAGAAATGGAGGGAAAGAGGAAATGTGTTAGAAATCTTAAAGATTATTATGAAAACCTAGAAGACTTGTATGAAGAATTTGATGACAGTGACAGCGATCCCAATTATTTAGCAACAAACCCTCCCTACACCAAAACTGTCATGTGGACCTGCATTTTACTGCAGGAAACTGTGGACCTATAACGTAGGTATCCATAACTGCACTTCTGGACAAGGTTTTATGTTCATGTGGGATGAATCAGTTGGAAAAAGGGGCAGTGATGAAATAGGAAGCTGTATTGTAAAGTACTTATTAGTAGCAAATGTCCACGCAAAGAAGTTGGTAATATTTACCGACAACTGCGGAGGACAAAATAAAAATTGGAACATAATGTCGCTTTGGTCACACCTTGTAGCTAGTAAACGTTTTGAAACAATAAAACATTACTTCCTGATAACTGGGCATACTTATCTTCCATCAGACCGTGACTTTTCAAAAATAGAAAAGTATCATATCAAGCACTACCAAAATGTGTACAGTCCTGGGCAATGGAGAGAGATAGTAGCAAAGTGTGGAACAAAACACTGAACTTCATCGTAACATGCATGATGAGTGAGGATTTCCTCGATTTGTCTAGGGTGCAAGAGACCTACTTTAACACAAAAAGCAAGTTTTGTACAGATGGTGTTACTCCTCCACGATTTTCCAAAGCTATTTGCTTTAAATTTGACAGCGAAGAACCTTTTCAAATGAAACTCAAACACTTGATGAACGAAGAGTTTTTAGTGTTGAACCTAAAGAAACGTGGAAGGAGTTCTATTCCAGCACTACATTTAAAAAGAAATGCGCCCAACAAAATCAATAAAAAAAAATTAGATGATGTCAAATCCTTGATGCAATACATTCCTCCCATCTACCATGGATATTACAATGGCCTACAGTCTTCCGCTGAAGTAGATGACCAAAAGGAAGATGTTGTGGTAATATAGACCTATTTGAAAAGTACCTTTTTGGTTAAGAGTATTTTTTGTCGATGACAGTGTGTGTTTTAATAAAAGTACAAACAAACCTAATGTCTTTTATTTTTGAGGAAAAAATGCCAAGCAACATTATTCAGTGCATATTTTTCTATACAACCATTTTTATCTTATAATAGCGTTTTTTTTACCTACATCTTCACTTTTAACGGTATATAGATACATAACCTTTGTATTAAAAAACTTTGGTTTGTTGTCTGCACTAAAATGTTATTTATGGATTTAGCCAAACTTTCAACTTGCTATATCTCAAAACAACAAACATGATGCTTGGCACTTTTTTCTCCCGACCCCTTCAATTGTCAAAACCAGTACATTTTTGTATTTAGGTCTTCAAGAAATAAATCGTTTATTTGTATTTTTATTAAACTTAATAAAAGTATATAAAACTGTTAAGTATGCATTTTTTTGAAAATGATACGCAAATAATTTGACTCATTTGACACTCATTAGTGACTTTAATTTAAGAAAAGTAGGTTAATAACGATTGTAACTACTTTATTTTATTGTGGACAGGTACCTACTCTACATGGCATTGTTGTATCGAAAAAATGGTATTTGCCTAAAACAAACTTAGACAGATACTATTTGTCTTGTCCAATAGTATTTGCCTAGACATTTAATGATAAAACTGTAACGAACTACTGTTTGCCTAGGCAGACACTATCTGACTAGGAAAAAGCTATCTACCTGAAATAACCATTTGCCTGCAACATACATATGAATGCTGTAACTATAGTTACGAAATTACTATGCACTTGCACTGTCCCATATCAAATGCAACATAGCTTAATAGTACAGCTATTGGGTAGTTTTGCAAAGGAAAAGTTTTGCTAGAAAAAGATGATGTCCTTCTGATAACTCTGAGTTTCCGTCATAAGAGACGCACAGCTAAACCCGAATGATTCTGGTTCTAGGTCTTCTGTTAGTTCTAGTGATAGTACTAGTGTAAAACTAGAACTAACACTAGACCTAGGACTAGAAACATTCGGATTTAGCCGCACGTCTCTCAAGACGGCTAAACCCGAATGATTCTAGTTCTAGGTCTTGTGTTAATTCTAGTGATATTGCTAGTGTAAAACTAGAACTAACACTAGACCTAGGACTAGAAACATTCGGATTTAGCCGCACGTCTCTCAAGACGGCTAAACCCGAATGATTCTAGTTCTAGGTCTTGTGTTAATTCTAGTGATATTGCTAGTGTAAAACTAGAACTTGCACTAGAACTAGAAGCGTTCGGATTTAGCTGCACGTCTCTCAAGACGGCTAAATCCGAATGAATCTAGTTCTAGGTCTTGTGTTAGTTCTAGTGACAGTGATAGTGTAAAACTAGAACTTGCACTAGAACTAGAAGCGTTCGGATTTAGCCGCACGTCTCTCAAGACGGCTAAACCCGAATGATTCTAGTTCTAGGC